ATCCTGGCTAAAACCAGGACACCAAGTTAGTTGCTAGTTAAGTAATTACAACCAAATTACTTTGCATCACACAAATGTACATACATTAAATGAAATTGTAATTTATAACAAAACAAGAATATTTACTCTGCTTTTGAAATACCAGCAAGTTAATCAATGCCATTGAAAGCACAGTGCACATACAAATACACAGAGAGACTTACTTTAAATAGTCTTCCATAATTACATAGCCACAAACTGATAGGATTCTCACTCTCCATCACACTGAACAATTTGGATTAAGAGAATATATCACATCCCATGTAAGTGTCAGTGATGTTCACAGGCAGTTTCTTTCCAAATGTCACCTTACAGTACAAATCACTACAGTTGTTTTGTTCAAGAGAAGATAGAACAATAGACTGGAATTTTAGATTTGATAATGGCCATAGTTCCCTGTTGAAGAAAACAAAACAAATTTAAACAAAATAAGGAGCACTAGCACTGCAGTCTTCATACAGTGCCTAGAAATTGCATAATCACAACTTTTACTTAGTTATCTTTGCTATTATCAAACAGTAGAAAACTAAAAAGTTAACATTTGCTGAGAAATTTACTGTCAAAAGGGCTGAAAATAATAAACTGAGAAAATGGGCCATTGTGGTAAGTAATGTTGGAGACAAAACATCCAAGAGAAAGGATATCTAAACTCATACCTAAAACTGAAATATAAATAATATGAACTAAGAAACTAAATATAGACCTGAAATAAGGACTTTTAAACAGAGTACTGATATTCTGGAAAGAACTTCCAATACAAATAAGAATCATATACTCTATAACTAATTTAGACTAGAGATGTGATAAATTAATTAGTTGGATTATATAATAGATCTTGTAATCACAATTTAGGAGTTTGTTTTCAGTATTTTTAAAAGACACACAGAAGAGTGCAAGAAGTCATGGGACTAACAGATGAATTAGAGGTTAATGACTCACTGGATTAATTACATTATCTAGACCTAAATTTTCAGAACATCAAGATGAGACATTCATTTTCCTTTTCTTCTCTCACTTCATATAAATAAAAATCTCTCATGTTCCTTCATTTGTCATAATGTTTTTCAAGTCTGTAATACAAACACTGCTACTGCCCTTAAATGAACACACACACAAAAATTAAGTGGTGTCTACTGAGTATTTGGGCACCTACTGATCAAGGCACACCAGCTCAGAACTGGGTGACCTGATTTATGGTCCCTACTCTTTGGTTTATTCCTGTTCTTTATGAATGGCCATTTAATATAATGCATACAAGTGTTCACAGTGTCAAGAAAACAAATATTTTCTCTTCTAGATGAATATCCAAGCCAATACTCCTCACTTTTTCTTCTTTCCTCCTTTCTGCACAATGTACAGCACAACATAAAATGGAAACAGAATGTTCATCAGAAAAAACCTCTGCCATCTATTACTTAAAGTGTTTTTTTGATCTATAGCAATTGCAGATCTAACCTCTGGGTTAACAAGGGTGGGCTAGAATGTGAGTGCCAGATTTCCTCAGTAAATGACCTAAACAATAAGCTATTGGTGGGAACAGTGTAAATCCTGTTGAGAAACATACTTAGTGTCAGAAAATGGAACACAAACTATGCATCCAAGGCACACTGAAGCAAGAACATGGCAAAAAAAGACAGAGATGAAAGCTGTTTTGGCAAAATTGCATTCAAATATGCAGATTACAAAATAATCATCTGATCGACTCACCTTTCCACCATATTCCTCCAGCTTTTGTAAAGCAGCAGTAACATTTTTTCTAGATTTCTTGTCCATTAGTCTCCTTGAAAGCTATTGGAAAAGGAAAATAAAAAGGTTTGGTTTACAATCAAACAGGCCATAATAATTCTACTCTGTTACTTTATTTCATCTTATCTTTGGAAAATCAAAACTGAAAAGAAACATTATAACTTGTAACCGATGTGAAAGTATGGAACTCACTCAAAGCAAAAGGAATAAAAAGTTACCTGGATAAAAAGTTAACTGAAGAGACACAAGTTCAAAGAAAACTGATCTGTCAGCCAACAAAAATATTTATTTTCATGTTTTTCCTTTAGCAAACTCATATGAAAGAAGTCTCAGCCTTACAAAAAATCATGCTTAAAGTGCTGTCCATATAGAAAGTTAACACATTCTTCATGTGCATTGACAGAGATCTATTATAGTGGAAATAGGTAAAAAAAACCAACCTGCTACAATTTCTCTTTTCTGCACTGGTTGTCAAAAAAGGTCCTTTCATTTTGCTGTAAAAGTGCACTTTGCAAGCAGACTAAAGGAAACCATGGAAAGCTTGTCTGACAGAGGAAGAACATCCTCTGCAGGACTCGACTCAGCATAAAAATACATCTCATAATCCCACTCTAAGCTTATTAAATGAAAACTTGTGCAGAATTCCTATCTGGAACAAGAAGAAGAACTTCCTTACTGAAACTTTCACAGTTTTATTAAAATATACACAAAATGAAAAATCTCATTTTGCAATAAACTTTCCTCCAAAGCATAGCATCTATTTCTCCTCAGGCCTGAAACTGGATGACTTTTAAATAGTACAGACAACACTTGCGTTACTCTCCACCTTACATCAACAACAGTTTTTTGGACCTCTGGACTTAGGCTTTGCACTACTCACCTTATTAAACACTCACACAGGGGAATATATGAAACAGTGCTTTGCATGGAACTGCTGAGTCCTCCACTGTATCAGTGCAGACATTCTAGTAAACATCTCAACAAAAGTACCATGACAATACAAATGATTTTTTAACTACAGCATGAAAAACTTACATTTGTGAGTAGCTGCTTAAGATGATCATTAAGAGATGGGCCAACAACAGCACTTAGCTGAACTAAAGCATCCAAACCCCTTCCAAATACTTCATGATCTGCATGGGCCTTCAGAGGGGGAAGAAAGGAAATCCTAACAGTAACAGTCAGACACACAAGTTTTCCTAAACTGCAATCTCTACATTATGAGTATATGTAGTAGTTTTAAACATTAAAACTACTGTGCAATTCCTAATTGCTATAATGGTACAAGTTTAGAAATACACTATGACTATCATATGACTATCAGTCTCTAGAGGCCACATTTAAAAACAGAAATGTGCTTTTAAAGTAGAAAACAAAAGTATCCACATAATGTCAGCAAACTTTTATTTCTTCTGAGATAAGAAAACTACTAATTTACTATTGATGGAAAACAATAATTTGCAGATAAAACAAACAGCTTACTACACAATTTCAGTATTTCACAGCATATTAGAAATAACCCTTCAAATGCAGATATTTTGAAACTGGGAGACAGCACTTGAGTTACAAATGTAATGAATTCAAGGTAATTTCTATGTAATTAATAACAATAATTGTCTTTGTTGGAGAAACGGAGGAGCCAAGGACTTTCTGCCTCAATTAATTTAGTCCCCTGCCAACATAACCTTTGTCACTTGTCAGCAATTATCAGTCTCTTATCTACTTCTATGGCTCTTTGTCATCTTTATTTCTCCCATGGGAAGGTTCTTCTATACCTGAGTTCTCTAATGGTATAGTTATCTCACTCCTCCTTTAGTAGAGAAATAGGCCATTATAATTTATTTTGCTCTTGTAAAATTTAGGATTTTACCTTTATGTAAACAAGTATTTTTCCAGTATTCGGACCCTCAAAAATTTTTTTAACTAGAAGTAATTGACTGCTTGTGTAGTAAGTAGAAGGTTTAACAAGACTTTATACTAAAACAGTGCAACAATAAAAATTGTATATCTATACACTATATGTATTGTATATATATACACTATACTTTACTATATACAATGTATGTGTGTATATATATAGGTGTCCGAGAAGTTGCCCATCTGAATTTACATGTCTAACTAATAAAAACAAGGCAGAGTTAACATGAGAAAAAGAAACTATTCCCACCCCCCAAACCAAGAGCCCATGCAATAGATTTACCACATTAATATTTTCCATGTACTCCTCCCCAGTACAAGAAAAAACCTCAAACCCATTTAAATCTCTGCATGAAGAGTAAGACATACCAATGCAGCCTTTAAGACTGGAACTAGACGAGGCAACAAGGGAATTGCTTTTTCAGCAGCACCATTAACCAGAAGTAATTCTTTAAAACCCTCCTTTGAAACAAATGTGTAGGGATGTTTTGTCTCTCTTAGTCCCTGTTGCAAACGTAAAACATGATTTTCGTAATAGTGAGCCTTCTTTGAAACAAAAACACATTTAAAAAGTTCCACTTAGCAGCAAGATAATGTTTAGATTTTGTCAGATCAGTTCAAAACATAAAGTACACTTACTCCACCATGTGGAGACACTGAGTACAACTCTGCTCACAGAATATTCCCATTCGTATTTCTTTTGGAACACTGAATATTAAAACTCACATTATGAATACTTCTGAGTCAACCAATACTTGTACTTCACTACTTTTAAACTAACAACCCAGGATAATTTTTCAACAAGACTATGAACAAGAACAGGCTACACTTGTAAGTGGGTTTTGTAACCTGAAGGTAAATAAAGAAAAAAGAAGGTGAACTATGGAAGGAATCACAACTCCCACCACACATCCCTCTCTGCAACACCAAAAACTTGTAGATGGCACAAAGATGCACTTCTAGTGAAGGCCTAACTGGCAGAACTCAAAGATTTAAAGCCCTATGGCTGGAGTCTTTCTTCTTTCCATTATAGGAGCTTTATGCTACTTTAAGAATTGACAGTGTCATTTAATCTTAAAGAAGAAAAATAAATTAAAAAAAGAACAAGCCACCTCAGTATGTGTAGTTTATTGTACCTATGGCATTGGATTCAGTGTTTATTTTGGCACCTGAAACATATTTGGTGATAAATTTCACAGACAGTGCTGAGAAAACAGAAGCCTCAACATAACATATAGTATTTGTCTTCCCCTTATTTACAGGATCCTCTTTCCACTGTACTGGTTCACTCTATTGAGCAGAGCACTCCTACTTCAATAGGTAGGCTTTATATACAAAAAGAATCAAAACAAGTTAGTTTACAAAAGAACCTGCAAACTCACAAATGGACTGAAGTATTTCATTCAACAGTTGGGAAGCTGAGGTGCAGTCTTGCCTTTGCCAGTATCTTGAAGATTAAACAGGTCTACCTAGCTCTCCCAGAATGCTCTAACTGAAGAGCTACAAACAGCAATGTTTTTGACCATTTTCATTCATACAAGATCTTCACAAACGTGGAGTTTTTTTCATATTTCCTTAGTAGGTGAGCCTAAATGAGCGAGCTTAGATTGTTACAAAATGACATTTGCAATTAGGAACAGGCTGTATGTTTAACGTTGCAAGAAATTGAGTTTACCTCTGCCAATGTCACAAGGAGAGGATCAAAGGGAACAGTTCCTGGAAGGCAGTCCCATTGCAGTTTGTGCTTTACTGATCCATGCACTAACCTAGGTAAGGAATAAAGTTTTAACAATTTAATGTATAATGATAGATAATTTACTGATCACAGGAATTGCTTTAAATGTATCACCAATTAGTTTGCTATATGATTATGTTATACGCACAATCTCAATGCATACTGATCTCAGTGAAATGTATGATGGTATTTAATGCAGCAATTATAATAAATTCCCAATTTTTGAAAATTATGCTCCAAATAACATAGAAATCAGAAAAGAAAAGCTATAAAATTATAGATACCCCCAATGCCAACACAGAAGATGCTCCTTTTGCAAAGTAACTTATAAGTATAAAGAAACATTTTCCCCAAATAGCAATTAGTAAGGGGAAATCAGTTGAAACTAAAAGAAAATCATACTGGGATTTAATATATACTCCTACGATACAGATAAGGGCTAGGTATTAATTATTTTATATAAGTATCTACATGTATTAATGATTACTTAAATATTTATAAAGTAATTCTGCATATGTGTGACAAAACAATGAAGTGCACATTGTCTAGGCAAATATATAACAGACAAAAGTAACTGAAAATACCATAAATTATTACTCACAAGTAGTTTTCTTAATATCTGCTATTGCTGACAACTACAGAATTGGAAGATTCAATAAAGTGTTGTCATACTACTTATCGCAGATAAAAAAGGCTGCAAGGTGTCTACTTACTAAAATGGCACTAATTTTATTAACTCTGCTAGTAGGGAAAAGTAAACACAACTACCTCAAGAAATCAACTTCTTTTGTGAAAGAGGTTTAGCAAACCAAATCTGCACATTCTTTAAAAAAATGCAGCTTTAGTATTAATACAGCATAATAAAAAGAACCAAAAGAAGACAATTTCAAAGACATGGAAAATTGCCTTCTGCTTTGAAAAGAGTTAAGTATTAGAAATCTTTCCACAAATGAATGAAATCAAACAATCTAACTAAAAGATCAAACATGAAGAGATGTGTTTCCTAACATACTTTGTTAAAAAGTAAACAAACCCAACACACCTGCAGGGAATGCCACCTTTAGCATAAACAGCAGCAAATGCAGATGGTGGTCGAGAATAAGCACCAAACTGTGAGGACAGAAAAAAAAAAAGGCATTATTTATTCATGAACTGCAGCTAAGGGCAGAAAACATGTATTAGGGACACTAATCTAGGAATCTAGGAAAGGAATCCAAGAAGGACTCACTGGAAAAGGAAACTAGGAGCTTCACAGCAGGAAAAGCTGCACAAATTTGGTTTTTATCATATACATGCTTCTCATACATACAAACTATTATTTATTAGCATGATTATTTATTAGCAGGTCAAAAGAGGTGATTCTTCCCCTCTACTCTGCTCTTGTGAGACCCCACCTGGAATACTGAGTGCAGTTCTGGTGCCCTCAACACAAGGACACAGAACTGTTGGAGCAAGTCCAGAGGAGAGCCATGAAGTTGGTAAGAGGACTGGAACACCTCCCCTATCAAGACAGGCTGAGGAAGTTTGGGCTGTTCAGCCTGGAGAAGAGAAGGCTGCGTGGAGACCTCATAGCAACTTTTCAATATCTGAAGGGCCTACAAGGAGCTGGAGAGGGACTTTTTGTTAGGAACTACAGAGACAGGACAAGGGGCAATGTGTTAAAATTGAAGGAGGGGAAGTTTAGGTTAGATATTAGAAAAATGTTTTTTACTGTAAGGGTGATGAGACACTGGCACAGGTTGCCCAGGGAAGTGGTAGCTGCCCTGACCCTGCTGGTGTCCAAGCCCAGGCTGGATGAGGCCTTAAGCAACCTGGTCTAGTGAGGAGGTGTCCCTGCCCATGGCAGTGGGGACTGGGACCAGATGATCTGTCAGGTCCATTCCAACCCCTAAATTCTATGATTTTATGATCATTCAATGCTACTTCCCAGATTAAAGTCCTTATCACAAAGCATTTAGAAGGTAACACCACGAAATCTTAATTTCTATCTTTTGAGTATTTGAACCTACATTAAGATTGGTAAAACTGTGTGCACGATTTGGTAACTTCATGGCTTCATGAAAGGTTTAAAGTAAAAAAGATGCCCACATTAAAGTAAGCATTCAGCCTCTCTGTATTGCAAACTACTACCTCACTAAGGCTCTCCTGCATTTAGTTCACTTTCCAAAAAGCCTGTGACTTTACTAATTGTCAAATTATATGGCCCAGTGGTGAGCTATAATTCATGCATTCAAAGCTAGTTCTCCAAGCACATAAATTCCATTAAATAAATGACTCCTTTCACTAGTCTCCTTCCAAATTCTTCCCAAAATATTACATATTCACAGTAAGTTTCAAGTAATGCTCACTAACAATAAATCTGCCAGATTTTATGAGGTCTTGATGATCCTCAAGATGCTACCTGATTTCTGGTTTCATTGCATAACTGAAGTAAGTTCCTCTAAAGCAGCAGGTACCAAAGTTTATAACTATACCAAAACAAAACCCAACCTTTTTTAATTTTTAGCTCTAAATCTCTTCTTAGGGCAATAGTACATAGAAAATAGAAGTTACCATCCGAGCCACAATTGTACCAAAACCCCTTTTCAAAAAAAGGAATAAATAAACAATGTTATGCCTCAGGCATTTCAGCTTAAAAAGAAGGAGATATATGACTAATAAGAAAAGTTTAATTTCAGTTTATAAAACAGGACCAGAAGGAGCATATCCTGCAAGCATTTCACAAAGTAAGGAAATTTCCTCCATCAAGAGATGGGTTTTAAACAAACCAACAAAAACCCCAACACCTAATACTTACTGAATCAATAGTTTCAGGATTCAGCTTGTCACTAGGCTTTGGCTGTGGTTTAACTGCAGGTTTTGGAGAAGATGGTAAAGAAGAAGATGTCTTGCTTTTCCACACTGCAGTCTTTGGTTTTATTTTTATGCCTGATGACATTCTTAGAACACTGCTTCCTAGAATAGGAAAATATTAAAAATATAAAATAATTTTCATTCCTGTATGACAGAATATCAAAGCTTAGAATCCACAAGCCCAAAGACTGACATGAACAAACAATCAAGAAAATCTGAGTGTACCAGGAAACCAATGCCTGTTCTTACATATCCTACACAATGCATGGGATAATTTTAACAGTCTTGTCACTCCATTTTTCAAATTCATACATTTCCTAACTTGCTTCCCTTTACTTGTGCTCTTTGAGTGAATTAGCTACAGTTTGATTTTAGGGTAGCCTACAGAAATCTGAGCAGCATTACAGGGCTTAGCAGGACAGCCCAGGCTGAAATAGGCTGGTTGGGTACAGTTACACCAGAAGACAGTAACGAGCTGAAGAATAGCCAGGGTGAAGGAATGAAGAGAAGAGCCAGTACATTCAGAACATAAAACCCAAATTCTAATTCCAGTAAGAAGAATGAAAGTAGTTTGTTTTTTGGTTTTTTTTAAAGAGTGCAAAAATAACTTTCTGTATACAGCCTTAAATACTGATTTGGGTACAGTCATCTTCTAAATGTCAATGTACCAGCTACTCATGTCACTATATATGTATTTAACTGGGTTAAAGTGTCCCTAATAAAAATAACACTCCTCTGCCTATTTAACATACCAAGTCTGACACTGTGATGAATAAAACAAATTATTCCTGGGAAATGGCAAGTTTTAAAATATTAATAAAATTATAGAGTGAAAATGTTACTTTGGAAGATCATCAGTGTTCCGTAATTTAAGCTGTGATGTATTCTGGATGAAAAAAATCAATTTAGTAAATAAGAAATTACATTCCTTTAGTGACCAAGAAATGATATTATATAGAAATGAAAACCACATGAAGCCAATTAAACAATACAGAGAAACAAGCATTGCCTCAAGGATGAGCAGAGTGCTTGCCATCCAGCCATCACCTTTCTCAAGTGGTGACACCTGTTTTTGTCAAAAACTTGATTAAACTCCAAATACTGAGATTCAGGATGAATTAGAGAGGCAGATTTTTTTTTGCCATGTTACTTCTATGCCCTCAACTCTATAAGCTACCTGCCCTAATCTCTGCCAGACTCTTGCACATGCAATCCTTGTTTAGCTTGATTACTCTAATTCTTCCCTCCAAACAGACCTTCCAGTCAGATACTTTTGTCATTACCTAAATTAGGAAATCTTCAGGATTATTTTTGCTCCTAGTAAGAAGTTAAAAGGTCCCAGCACTTGTGTAGATATGCTGTGTCTTTATGACTTGTAGAATGAATTAAATGTAGTGCCTAAATTTGACTGAATGTTGAGAAACAACATATAACAATGATTACCAAATTATCTCAAATACAAAGCAAAACTGAAAGTTTAAACCAATACTTCTTGACCAATAATTTCATCAGAACTAGTGATCCACATCAGTTCACCCACTGTTCATCTTGTTTTCTCTTTCCTACCATTTCCAGAATGTGGCCTGTCTCCAGTGAAAAGCTTTATAAAAAAGAACCAACATACCACAATTAGACAACTAAGTCTCTTCAGAACACACAAAATCTTACGTGATACTTACGGGAACTACTCTGTTTGTAAAATGCAAATCATTAAAACCAAAATAATTTGAAGGCCTCAAAAAGAAACAATGACATAGAAAGAAAATCTACTGATCTTATGAGTGTCATAAAACTCAATTACATTAGAAAGCACATTTTAACTATCAGAAAAATAAGAATTAAAATCGTTTTCTACAATAAAAACACCAGATAAGTGCTTGACAGTACCATTACATATAAAAATTAGTGCTATGTCAACCTTTGAAATACACAACTGCTCACAATGCAAACAGCTTGCTAACAACAATAAAAATATGCTTCTCAGAAAAGCATTCAGAAGTAATTCAGATGCCTTTAAATTACTTTCTTTACCAAGAAGTAATAGAGATACATGCCAAGGACTTTCTAAGGTTTTGACTAATGCCAAAGTCTAGAAAGTCGTTGCACCACGAGAGAAAGTAAATGTTAAGTGTGGCAACAGGCAGGAACTAGCTGAGGTGTTTAGGACAGCAGTACAGCTGGGTGATAGAGGCTTTGTGAAAATGCAGCTGGGACAACACATCAATGTGCAGGCAGAGAAGAAGGTGGCACAGAGAGGAAAAAGTACTTTTACTAAGGAGCCTCAGAGGTGAAAGCTCCTGTGCAGTCAGGAGCTGTGAGAGCCACACGAGTGTGTGCACAGCTCAGACGGCAAAGTGCAGCAGGGAATCAAACACGCGACACACGAGGTTTGGTACAGAAGTGACCCATCCACTGGCTTCAACCACGACCAGCAGAAACAGAGACAGCACCTTGAACAGCCTGAGAGAGGAGGAAAAGCGCAGCCTGGAGCTGAAGTCCGGCAGGGTGAGAGCTGTGCGGGGTGAAAGGCGAGGCTGCTCCCTCACGCTGGCGAGCGGCGCAGACACACACACACACACAGAGGAGCAGCTTCGGGCGCCGCGAGGCTCAGGCACAAAGCTCTGGGAGTCACCCGCTCCCGCGGGTCCCTGGGCTCGGTTCAGCTCGGTTCGGCTGGGCTCGGCTCGGT